TGTTTAGAGTATAATTTAGGCATTTGTCAAATTTATATATGGTTTACATCACTACAGAATGATGATAAAATGATGTCTAAATTAAATAAAAATTATTGCACATCTATAATTAAATATTTAAATGGTAAAGTAATATTTAAATAGTAAAATCTGCTTTTAGAATTTTCAATTAAATTGATAATATATATTAAAGACATTTTTCCTAACAGAAAAACTGAAAAATTGGTCTGACATAAATAATATTATGCTACCACAACTGACTAAGCTTCTGAGAACATTATTTTTAAAAGCAAGTAAAATTTGGTACAAAAATCAACTTTATTTGAATGAAACTTTACAATTAGTTATAAATGCATGTTGTAATCACTTAAAAAGAGAAATACAGTTACAATTATTTTCTGTGATCAGCGAAATAATGTTAGATCATACGTTGCAAGAATTACATAGGTAATTTATGATCTCTTTTAAACCTGTTTTTGATTTTCTTTCAATAATATCTATATATTACAGGGAAAATGTATTTAAAGAATTCATCTCAACTTTGCCAAATCTCTTGTTAAAATCAAAAATACATGAAAATACAATACAGATAATAAATAAGATTGTACTCCGTTATAGAAATTGGATTCAAAAAGAACTTCTCATAAATTACAAAAACATTATAGGTAATTGTACATAAAAATATTACATTTATAATTGCATGTATGTTATAAACAATGCTATTATTATTTATATTACAGAAAACGCCAAAAAGATTGAAATTATCGGATCTGAAGACCATAAACAATCTCGTCTTATGATATGTAATTTGTTTTACTTTTTAAATACCGAAATTTTCTATTAAGTAAGATAAGTATATATTTCTTTAATAATTTTATATTTTACTATAAATTTTTACAAAAAATGATATTTTTCGTGTTTTTTAATAAATCATTAATTTATTATTCAAATATTTAAAAATTATTATTAGAGCATTGCTGACAATATGCAGTCATTAATAATATTAAATTATATACTTAATACTTATTATAAATAGATACATAACATTACAAATATATATATAACAATTACAAACATCTCTATATGTTTGTATTATTTTGCAGCATTATACTATTTTTAAAGTTTCGAAAATACTTCGTAATACTTATGTACATACAATGAAATCTCATTTATTCGAATACGTAGGACAAAACAGATAAATAATTCGGACAATACAGGTTCACTAGGATTTTCCACACTTTACTCTTATTTGTTTGGACAATAAAATATAGTAAAACAGAAGTAGATCAATTATGATGGTCAGCATTAAGGTTGAACATAAAAGTGATGTAAATAAATAAGATTTCATTGTATATTAGTTTCAAAGATTTTAAACTAGGATGAAGCATTTTCAGAATATAATTTAAACTTTAGTTATCATACTTATGTTTCGCGGAGACTCGTCATCAACAAATGAATAGTTATCAAATACGCACAATCCATTATTGCTTTTAATTAATTCTACTGTTTTATTGTTTTCCAAATTATTTTTGGTCTTATTGTTATAGGATCTCTCTTTTGAATTTGTTACATTAATAATATTTTCTACACTTGGCGACAATGGTAACGTTGGTAATTCTTTACTAAGCGTTGGCCAACTTAAGTTGTTCCTCAATTCGTGTTCTATTCTCAAATATTTCTTCTTAGACTTTTCAAGTTTATAAACTTTTGATTTGAACTTTTTTTCAATTAAATATTCTATTACAAACATTTCAACGAAGAAACAAAGTACGAAGTTCGCAAACGCAAGTATCAAAATAATAATCCTCCAATCGTACACTGGAGGTACAAGTAATTGAAGCATATTTATTATCCAATTCGCAGGATAAATTGTAACGTAAGTGCAAACAATGATTAATAATATTATGGAAAATATAAATGAAGTATTTGTGTAAATGGCTTTTCGATATGGCTTTCCACGTGAAAATATGATAGCCATCGTTATGTATTGGAACATAGAGACGCAGTAAACAGAATAATTCTCGTAACACATGTATGCATTTTCATTATTATAAATGAATGGTGTAAACCAAGGAAAAGTGCGAACCGCATGATAAGCAACAGCTTGAAAAATTGTCATTATTAACATATGTACAGATAAAGAGAAGATCGAAGTAAAACTTAGCAAACTAGTCATAGGAGGCTTTTTTACTAACTGCTTTTCATATGCTTGAGTTTTTCCAAAAAAGGAAGCGAAATTAACAATAAGACAGATATCAATAAACAGAAATTCTAGGTCTGTCAAATTTGAGTCAATCGAATAGAGAATAATAACAGACAAAAATTCCGTCAAAGAATAGGTAACCATAAATTTAAAAATTCCAAATGATGTAACTAAGGCAGCACGACCTTCCCTTATCACCTTCGGTACGCATGTTATATCCGGTACTTTGGACGTGAAAGGGCTCGCAACACTAAAAATGATATTTCATTGGATATTAGTATGAAAACATTCAAAAAAATCCTAGAAATTTATGTCAATTCTTTTTATACGTAAAAAGATATTTTTTTTATACAAGCATATAATTAAAAAATAA